GTAGGCCGACCCCGAGTGTGCGCACGTACGGGCGGATACGGCGGTGGCACCACTTTCACATACATCAACTCCCGCCGTTGCGGCGTCGCCTCGAGTACGCGCCACCGCCTTCCAGGTCACCCCCGGCACTCGATCACGGAAGAGCGCAAATTCGGGCATTGCGCCCTCCCGGACACCGCGGATGTCGGCTGCGTGCCCTGGAGATGCAGCCGGCATAGGCAAGGACATAGACACACGGCGAGGACGGCTCCTGCGCAGTGCCTCTATCTCGTAAGTCCGAAATTACCTCGCCGTGTGCGGCCGATTCGTATTCGCTGACGAGCACGATCATAAACACGTCGGAATGAGCCGTGCGTGGATAACGGCGGCGTTGATGTAGGGCTACTACGACGTCGCGTGCGGGGAAGATGCGGTGCGCTTCCTCGCGTACGAACGGTAATTGAACTCAATCAAAGGCACCCAGAAGCAGGTATGTCCAACGGCGACGATTCTGCGGACTGACCAGCGTGCAGTGCCATCCACTCGGTGCTGCTTGCACACGGCGGGGTTGCTCCTCGCCCGTCTCTGCAAGAAGGGACAGTATCCAGTATGCGTGTTACAATTCACGGGATGTTGATGATGTTGACCGGCTGCTGTGCATCCCTGCGCCGTCCTTGCAGAGTCTCTTTACACAACACCTGCGCCTTTGCCTACCGATTGCCGTTGTGTATATTGGCTCTGCGGTTCCTTGATTGCGTCCCCGGGCCGACTCCGACCTCGGCTGGTGCTTCCAGTTGCTCGAACGTCTCACAAGTATCGGCAGTAGAGTGATTTTGAAGTAATGAAAAGTGGCGCAACCCAATGCAAAGTGGGGCGGTTTTACCTTGGGTAAGTGGAGCGCTCCTAATGTAATGTAAAGTCACTTTTCATTACTTCAAAATCACTCTAGTATGACATTTACAGATTGAGCTCTAGCATCCTGTGATCTGCCCGTCTCCATTCACGTTGCTAGCAGCTGCCTTCCCGCCCTCTGCTACCTGCCTCCGCAGCCACCCAGCGCCCATTTCGTGTAATTTATGTATTGCCACTTGCATGTGAACAAGGCGGCCGTGGGTGCGTCGATTTGAAGCCATGCTTGCTCTGCAAGTCTGCGTACACATGTATGTAGTCTCGCCACACCTTAGAATATTCTACTTCTACACTCAAGAGCTCCAGCTCTCCCGTTTTCGCCTCTTCGCCTGTGTTCTCCTCGCATGCTCACAGGAACTTGTATGAATTGGCTCTGCCAGGAGATATCAAACCCCGGTGCGGCGATCTACTCGTGTGAATCATTGTGAGGCAGGCAGGCGGGTGCACTGTGAGCTATACAGATGCAATCATGTTTTACCTAAGTTCCCCCTGCAAGCGAGGGCTTCCAAGACATTATTGGGGTCCCAGAACCCTCGCTTCCAGCCCGAGTGTGCACACAGGAACATTTCAAGCAGACTGGGGTGTCTATTTCAGGATGTACCATGCAGATGCCATGAATTTCAGCTCACATGGCAATGCCGCAAAGCACTGCCGCTGTGCGTGCGCCATCCCAGCAAATACACCAACACAACGGGAGTTCTCGTTGGAGGATATTCAGAAATGCATGCGTGTTCGTGTCGCACTTACGAGTGATCGGGGCTGTCCGGGCACCGTGCGCGCCGGATCTTCCAAGCTCGCGCCAATTTCCGCGCCGCCTAGGTCTCTGCGACGCGGCGCACTCATGATGTAACCGACATTTACGACGGCGAGTGCGCAGCTCTTGGCGGTCGAGTCGAGTCCGTGGGGCATTCCAGAGCGTCCACACGATGGCCGCGGTGCGTGTGCGAGACAACCACGCGCGTGAACGCATCCGCACTCGGTACACCGCGAACACCTGTAGGTGCGTGGACGCGGGTGGAAAGCTGGTCGTCCTAGCTCGTGCGCGCTGTCTGCGTCGTTTTGTAGTGTACATTGTCGATGTCGAGTGGATCGGGGGCCAGGGGGCAGGCAGGACGGGATGACCCGTACCCGCTCACACGGAGATCCATCAGTGTACCGCCGCGAACGTCCCGTGCGCCCTCCGAAATGAGCCACCGGACGTCCGCGAGCACGGACGCGTACGCTCTGCGCGTCTCGACGCGATCTGCGAAGAAAACGAAAAATGTCACTTTCGACCGATTTCGACGGCGCGCCCAGCGAATCGCGCGTACCTCCCGCATTCCGCCTCCGCAGGACGCGTCCTTCGAACGGCGTGCTCCCCAGAGCATTGCGCACCAGCCCCTGCGTTCACGGGTGCGTTCGACGACTTTCGCATTTGGCCATCTCGCAGCGGGCCGGCCTCGAGCCCAAGACGAACCCCTCGTCCGTCGTCCCCAGCGGCCCCAGAGACGGCGGAGCGTGCGCGGACGACGGCACCGTCGCGAGCACGAGGGCGCAGCACCCGTTCCGCGCACACAGCACCACCTGCGGGCCGATTTTGGGTCAATTTCGAGCGAGTTCGAGGACGGGCGCGAGAGAATCGCACGTACCTCGGTCAGTTCGCCGCCGCAGAGCGTGGAATTCGGACGGCGGGTGCTCCTGAACGGTTCACACGCGCCCCTGCGCTTGCGCGCGATGTCTACGAGTTTGAGTTTTCGCCGTATGGCGGCGAGATGGCAGAGTCCGGCGCAATGCACCGCATGCGAGTACCCGCCGCCAGCCTTCCCCATTCTCAGCAATTGCGCGACGCGCTCAAACGACTGTGTAGACGTATGTATGAGGGTGCAGCACAATCTCTCCGCACACAGGGCCGCCTGGAAACGAAATCCAGGTCATTTTCGACTGGATTTCGAGGGCAAAGCCAGGAAATCGGGCGTACCTCCGTCAGCTCGCTTCCGCAGGACGCGTCCTTCCGACGCCGAGTTCTCAGGAACGTTTCGCACCATCCCTGCAATTTGCGCGCAGATTTGACGACATTTAGTTTTCGGCCTTCAGCGCCGTGTCGATCTCGACCGTCTCACACCCGAAAACGAACCTCGCCCG